TAGTGACGAAGCTAACGGGACAGCCAAATCGAACGCGATTAGCGAGACAACGAGAAAGAAAATGCAACAAGTGACGATGATTTTTGGGCCTGTAAAAGCGAGTAGAAAAGTGACGAGACTAACCTAACTGGAATCGGACAGAGCAACGAGTAGTATGACTCTAGCAGCTATAAGTAACGACTGACGAGGCAAAACTAAATAACGAGTAGCTCAAGACTCAAGAAGCGAGCCGACTTAGATTGCTGCAAAGTAACGAGTATCGAGTCTTTTGCAACTCAGAGTGACGAGTTGAAGTTGACGAAAAGTAACGAGATGGATGACGAGATGGCTTAGATATTAAAACATTAAAGAGTAACGAGTAGCGAGTATTTGAGCGACGAGTGACGCCAATAGAGGCCTTGGTAATGAAGTAACGAGCGAGTAGGTCTAACATGAAGTATAGAATATGTATAGAGGTAGTAGCTATGTATAACGAGTAGCGATACTTGAGTATTAGAGCGACGAGTGACGCCTATGAAGAATGAAGGGACGAGCGATTAGGTCTAACTTTAAGTGTTCAGACTTTTTTGACTATGAAACTAGTAAAAGTAACGAGTAGCGAGACTCTGGACGAGTAAAAAGGCACAGATATGAAAAGTGCTAAAAGCAACGAGTAGACTTCAATGGTAAAGAATAGCGAGATACAAATAGTAGCGAATATCGGTAATCAACTAACAAAAGGCGAGACTGTAATAAGTAAATGGACTGAAGGATGTTGAGTGAAGCAACGAGTGGGGATGGACGAGACAAAGGCTAAATGAACACAGAAGCAACGAGTGAGGATAGACGAGTAAAGTAACGAGTAAAAGACTTATTGAGAAATGAGAGAATTTAGATTGAGAGCTCTCATTAAATATCGAACAAAGACTAGGCTAGCTGAACGTAATAGAGATTTAGGCAGTTAGAGGATGTTCTTAAACTGTTTAAAGCTGTTATTAAGTTGGCTTCTTTAAGCTTTCGTTTCCCGTTAAGGATTTCATTGAATCTCAGTTATTGGTGATTTTTGTTTTGTTTTTGTTTTTTCCTATTTTGCACTCAGCGTTGTTGGATTTATTTCCAGGGATTTGTCTCAGCTTAAAACAATGTTTACATATTTTTCTCTTTTATTTTTGAGAGCGTGTGCGTGCGAGCGTATGTGTGTGTCAGTGTGTGTGTGTGTGTGTTTGTTGTATTTTACTTGTTGATGTTTTTTGTACCTCGATGTTGTTCAAGAACGTTATTCATTTTTATTTTGTCTCTCTCTAACTCTATCTCTCTCTCTCTCTATCTGTCTATCTGTCTAAATAACTATCTGTCTATTACGTTTTTTTCTAACTGTCTATCTCTATCTCTCTCTCTCTCTATCTATCTGTTTATCTGCCTAACTCTTTTTAACAACTATGCTCTGTCTGTTTTATAAAATATATATTTACTATATACTCGTATATATACATAATATATGCCCTTGTGCCAAATATCATCTATTGCTGTTGTACTCCACCAAAGGTATTTAAGACTAAGTTTCGAATTTGAATTCGCGTGGGCCGCCAGTGTGACCAGATGTGCTGACAACGGACAAATTTCGAACAGACAATGTTATTGTGACTCGTTTCTATATGGCATATTTATGTATATGTATAAGTGAACAGATCTTTGTATTACTCTAGGTATTACTCTATATAAATATAAATATATATCTATATATATATATAGTTATATATATGTTTATATGTATACATATATCACCTATGTATTAGTGGATGTAACTGTATTAACGACTTCAATCTATGTACGTATATTCATCTCTGGTCGAGCCCAGTTTTAACGCGTCTGGCATTGCCAACAGCGAATTGTACTGCATAGGCGTTGCCAGCTTTCACTATAGAGTCGGCCAGCGTTGCCAGCTGCCCTTGAACGATCATAGCCTCTGATTGCCGTCACCCAAAAACTCCCCTCCGAAATAGCCCAATTGTTTCGCAAAGCGCTTTCCTTCCCTTCCGAAAGTTGAGCTGTGACTGTACTTTGTTGTTCTCCACTTGGCCCAGAGCGGCTTTGATGAGTTTGATGCCTTCTTTGATTTCACATTCCAAATAATTTTCTTATGTTTTTTGTTTTTGTTTACGATCTAGTCAAGAAGTTGATCTACGTTTTTTGCAAATCAAATTTTAGTTATTTTTTTTTTGTTTTTTTTTTTTTTAAGTTCAGTTTCCAATCAATCAGAGAAGTGAAATCTAAAACCAAATTCGAATTCTCATTCCCATTTTCGGTATGTCTGCAGGCAAAAAAAATAAAATAAAATGAAAAAATTGGAGGAAAAACTTCTTGGAAAATACTTATTGAATTTGGCATTTTCAATTGTTTTTTATTTTTGATTTAATTTTCCAAATTTCGAAAACAAAAAAGAACACGATTCGGCCTGAGAATTGAAATAAGAAGAATAAAAGCTGCGAAGCTGCTGAGTTTTCTGTTTTCTACTGTTTTCAAAAACTGTTGTATGTTTATTTAATTTTATTGATACATATATTTTTGGATAAATTGTTTATTAATTGTACTTGATTTTTTTCAAAATTTCTTATAAGCACTTATGATTTATTATAATTATTTTAAAAACCAGAAACAAAATTTTGACGCAAAAATTGGCAAAAACAAACAAGTTTTTCATTGATTCGTGTATTTTTTTTTTCTATGTAACTTTTCTAGTGTTATTAAATTCATGTTATTGTTGTTGTTAAATTTTGTTTTGTTTTATTTCTTTTTTGGTTTTGAGCAACAAAAAGTTAAAAAGCAAAGAAGAAGTGGGCAAAGTACGTTAAATGTCAGAATCGAACTCAATTTCATATTTGAAATCTTTTGAAAATATTTTCGTTTTGTTTTTTCGATTTTTTGCCAAAGCAAAATTTTGTTCATGATTTAAAAGAACTAGTTCCGCGCACCGCCAAGCGTTACTCAATTCAACCAAAATTACCGAGAAAAGCGAAAGCTCGCGAAAAATTGACGAAGCTGCGAAATGCAGCTCGTGAAATTTAAGTTTAATCATTTTTGTATAAATAAGTTTACAAAAATAAAAAAATAAATTATGTTAAAAAAAAAAACAAAAACCAAAAAAGAAAAATATATATGTAAAACCAAAAACCAAAAGTCAAACAAAATGAAATAAAACCAAAAAAACAAAAACAAAATAAAATGAAACAAAATCAAACAAAAAACCAAAAAAACAAACCAAAAACAAAAAAAAAAACCAAATCCTAACGTACGATTATGCGACGTTTTTCGAACAACGCCCAAACAAAAATCGAAATTCAACTTCTTGAAAGCAAAAGACAAAAACAAAAACTATATATATATATATATTTATATATGTACATTATATATATATATATATGTATATGAACCGAAATTCTAGAAATGCAAATAACTTACAAAAAACCAAAAAGAAAAAAAATGGAAGAAAAATTCAATGAAAGAATATAAAGCAAAAGCAGTTATAGATAATAAACAACTACAACAAAATACACAACGAAAGACATGCTGAATACCCCCCTCTTGTTTTTTACTGGCAACACGAGTATATATATATATATACATGTATATATATTTATATATATATTTATATATATTTATATCCAAATATAGAGTTAAGAGTTGAGCAGCTTTGACTTGAGCCCGGCTATCAGAGCCAGGCTCTCTTCTCCAGTTTAGTTTCCACTCCCTAATACTACTTCAACACGCTCCACATAAATCTCAAGTATATATCTATATATACATATATATATCACTTAATTTCAAATAGTTTATTTCTTTGATTTTTATGTTGTTCTCCGTCTGATTTTTCTTTTTCTATTTTTAAATTTTGTGTAAAAATATATATATATATATATAAATATATATTCTATATATATATATATACATATATATATATTCTTTACTCTATGTATATATAGAGTTCGTTAGCGAGCAGAGGCAAAAGTTGAAACTTAAAGTACAGCTGATTTGTTTAAATAACTGTAAACGTAAACTTTGATATTCTGTTGTTGTTGATTTTCCTTTCTCTTGGGAGCTCACATATAGAAGAAGAAGAAGAACTCCAAATTAAGTAATTTTTGTTTAATAATTTGCCTTATTTAGTATATTATTCTGATTTCTTTCATGTTGAAACTCTAACTATATATATGTATGTATACATAAATATAAACCATATATATGTGTGTATATACATATATACATATACATACATATATATATATAAATATATGCATATCCATATATATGTATATATATATCGAACTTCATCTTTCTTTCTCTGTCGCTCTATTCATCTCTTAGCCTCCTTTATACAGATCTATATAGATGTATACATATTTATACGTACATATATGTATATATAGACACATATACATATGTATATATATATATATATACATATATATATGTAGAGATATACATCTATATAGATATGCCTATCTTGATGTCTCTTTCCTTCTTCTGTCCCTTCAAAACTAAAAGTACAACAACAGCAAGCAAAAAGTATGAAAAAAGTCAATCTAAATTTTCAATTTTTTTTTTTTTTAATTCTTAAAAGAAATCCTTTTATTTTCAATATTCTTTTGTTGATTTTCCATGAGAGGTTGCAAAGAACAAAAACACAAAAAGGCATAAAGAGAAAAATCAAAAAGAGAACAAAACCAAATGTAGTTAATTCTAGTTGTAAAAAGACAAAGAAAACGAAGAAAAGCAAAAAGAAATTGATGAGAAGCGATAAAAAAAAAGTTAAAAAATGTAAAAAAAAAACACACACAGATAAATGGCATTCATATATATCGATAACAAAGAGAGCTAAGCAAAAACTATCGATCAATCGACTGCAAGCAAAAACTGAAACTGAAAAATTCCAAAAAATTAAAAAACCAAAAATGCAAAATACAAAATAATAATAATAATAAAAAAAAAAAAAACAAAAAAACGAGACGTAGTAAAGAAGTTGATGTTGGATTTTTGTTTGGTGTTTGTTCCAGGAAACGTCCGAATCGCCCCAACAACACGCTGTGGGCGTTGGCGCGATGCTCGGCGGCGGCATGAGCAGCAGCAGCAGCAGCAGCAGCAGCGCAGCCGCCGCAGCCGCAGCCGCCGCCGCCGCAGCCGTTGCCGCGGCAGCCGCTGCCCACGAGCAGCAGCCACAGACGGCGCCGCTGCGCCTGCTGACGTGCGTGTACTGCGGCGCCTCGTTCCCCAACCAAAGCAAACTAACGAGTCACTTGTTCTCGCACTCGCTGAAGTTCCCCGACCCCACCGCCCTGCTGCACTCGCAGCTGCGCACCGCCCACGATCTGAACCTGTCGCACCTGCCGCAGCCGTTCGCGTTCCAAGCGGCAATGGCGGCCAGCGCCGGCAGCAGCGATCCGCAGGAGCAGGCCGCCGCTATGGTCGCCGCCTTCGGCCTTGACATGGAGATGGTCAGCTGCACCATACAGAACCTGACGGCCAGCTGCCTGGAGGCAGCCGTCGGCAGCGGGGCGCCCGGCTCCAGCGGTGCTGGCGGTCGCCTTGGACTGGGCGGCTCATCGACATCCGGAAATGGCGGCATGGCGGGCACATCCGCTGCCCTGTTGCTGGGCAACTCTGGCCCCGGCAGTGGCAGTGGCGGCGGTGGCGGCGGTGGTGGTGGTGCTTGTGGTGCTGGTATGGGAATGGGTGGCAGTGGCAGCGGCGGCGGCGGCGGCGGCGGTGGCTCCTCGTCGCCCTCAACGTCCGCCGCAGCGTCGGCAGCGGCGCAGTCCGGCTCGTCGGGAGCGACGCAGTCCGGCTCGTCGGCCGCCTCGCTGCTAGCCGCGTCAAGTGATCCGAATAGTGTTGTCATGTGTAAGTTCTGTGCTAAAAGTTTTCCCGATGTTACATCACTGATCACGCATTTGTCGGTACATACAGGTGATCGACCATTTAAATGTGAGTTTTGTGGCAAAGCGTTTAAGCTGCGCCACCACATGAAAGATCATTGTCGCGTGCACACGGGTAAGTCTCCAACTAGCCTAACTCAACTCAACAAACTGCTCATTCAATTTACTACACACACACACATTTATATATACATACATATATAATTCACTCTCTTCTATTTGATACCTTTGAATTCAAATCAAATTGAACAAATCTAAAGCTCATTAATGAAGATATCATAGAGTTATATACTATACATTTCTATATTCCATATGATATATGTCTATAATTTAAGCTCTTATTAATGAGTATTTCGTATATACATATTTATATTCCGTATTATACATGTCTATATATCTGAAAAGCTTTTTTCTTATATGCATTCAATTTTTGATCAAGTCTTTCAGCTGGTACTGAACAAATCTTAAGCTAACTATTCATAAAGCATACGACTAAAGCACCTCAATGAGAGTAATGAAACATAATGCATTCATATATGGAGTATATAAAGTACCTGAATCAAATCGATTTCTTTTATATATATAGATATATAAATATGATTCCATTTTTGAATCATCAGTATATTTTTCAAACAGTTTCGGCTTTCTAATAATTGATTTAATGCCAATGACACTAAGAATTTCTGTTCATTCAGAGGTTAAATCTTCAAAAAAACATTAGCAGAGCTTTAAATGTTTTCAACTCTATTATATATTTCAAATAGTTTTAAAAGAAGGGTCCAATGCTCCATCAGTGTCCTTAGAGCTTTGATTTAAATATTTATAATTCGCGCATTTCTTTCAAAGCTCACACTCACTCCGACAAAGCTTTAATGGTCTAAAGCTCCGCTTGATATAATTTCAAAGCGCTAACGAATCGAGCTTCAACGAAGTTCGCTTGAAAGCTCGCCCTTCCGAGAGCTTTGCCGGCAGCCAGTTGCCACAAATCACACACACACACACACACACACTCACACAACACTTCTATGAGCTTTCCTTTACTTGTTCTTAAAATATACTATAAATATATTTAATCTGACATATTGAACTTCCTTTTGTAAACCCGCAAAATGCAAAAAAAAAAAAAAAAAAAAAAAAAAACAACAACAACAACGAAACGACAAAAACATCAACAACTATTGCACCATTTGCGGGGAATTTTCAGGTGAACGACCCTTCAGATGCCACATGTGCGGAAAAACATTCTCACGCTCGACGATCCTCAAGGCGCACGAGAAAACGCATTTTCCCAAATATGTGCGCAAATTTCTGTCACCCAGCCCGGTCGATACAAAGGACGAGCTGCCGCAATAGTGAAACGATTTTAGTTTGTTATTAAATTATTATTATTATTACTACTACTATTATAATAATAACAACAATAACAACAACAACAACAACAACAACAACAACATCAGCAGCAACAACAACAATTTCGCAAACTATTTGCATAGCAACTACAACAATTACAACTACAATTGATGGGAGCGAGACAACAACAACAGCAGCAGCAGCAGCAGCAGAAACAGGAGCAGCAGCAGCAGCGAGAATGAGATAGCAACAGCAACAATTTTGAACTTACTTAAGCGACAACAAGCGCAAAAAGCTTAGACACATCCACACACACACACACACATAGATATGCACACACGCACACATATGCATAAACATGTATGTGTGTGTGTGTACATATATACATATATATATACAATATGTACATATTTTATTACTTATATAAAAAACAAAACAAAGAACTAAAAACGAGGCAAACAACAAAACAGAAAGAAAAATAACAAAAACAAAAAAAATGGCAAATAGAATTTGCTACATTTTACTGAAGCATAGCGCATACACACAAACACACACACACATATATATATATAAATACTATATATTTAAAGCAAAACTGCAAAGAAGAGAGCGAGATAGGTATAGAGATCGCAGGCAAAGGCATAGGCAAAGGCATATATACATACACACACACACACAGAAACACACATATATATATATAGCCAAACGATGTCAAATTGTTCAAGTTTATACCAAGAGCGATAATATTTTTTTTAATGCAAAAGAAACCACACACACCTACACACACACACACACACACACACACACACAGAAGATTCAGTTTTGGAAGAAGCAAAAGGATAAGATAAACAAAACAAAAATAAAATATGTCGTAATTTAGTGTGAAAAAGAGATGAAGAAAAATCGAAGCGTTGATCATATTTTTTTTTTTCTATACAATATTTTAGTAAAGCAGGAGAAGAAGAAGAAGAAGAAGATGAAGAGGTAGAAGTACAGCGTGAATGTTGTAGCAGGAATCTAATTGGGATATATAAATATATATGTATATCTCAAGAAAGTAAAGGAAAAAATAAATGATAAAAAGAAAAAAAAAACAAAAATAAAAAAATTATACTAAATTATAATGGTAAATATACATATATATATATATATACATTAATGCATAAATATATGTATATACATACATATATACATATACGATAGTAATGATATAGAAAAAGAACAGTGAACACGTGATGTAACTTTTTAAGTAATGACGCATGATGATGATGATGATGAGCAGCATGATAATAATGATGTTGATCAATGGAGCAAGATGGCGATATTAGCGAGTTGATACAATAATAAGTAACATTAGTTTAACACTTAAAGATCTACATACTTATATACATATAAATGTATACATATACATGTATATCAATATATACATATATATATATATGTATATGTATATAGTTGCGTAAGCAAAGCGGAGCAAAGCAAAGCAAAGTGAACTGTTAGCTAAGGAAGCAAATAAATCGTAGCATACTTTTGTGCGTATGTTGAATGCAAAAGCAACTAGAACGTATACCACATACATATCTACATACACACACGAACACACACACACACACACACACACACTGTATTCAAGGTCTTTGATCTACATAGTAAAGTACCTAAGCAAGCAGCACACGTTTAGGACAACAGATGGCGCCACATGCTTGACAAAATACAACCCTGCGTAATTTATATGAAATGCAAGAAATCGACACACACACACACACACGTATATATATATACACATGTATAGAACAGACATTAACTAATTTTTAGCCACATATACACTAACAACCCCATATACATATATCTATATATATATATATATATACAAACTATATAACATATTTGTAAAATCAGCTGAAGTAGCAGAGAAATACATCAAATGTAAAGCACACTCAGAATCAGTAGAGAAAGAGAAAGCAGCAGCAGCAGCAGCAGAAGAAGAAGAAGAAGAAGAAGTTGAAATCATGGAATACAGACATACGCGTGAATTATGCAAAGCAGCAGAATTACATAGAATATCTGTGATCTTAAACATACACACACATATATATATATATAGCTATATATATATATATACATATATATATATATAAACATACTTAAAGGAATAGCAATGCATAAACAATTTTTTTTTATCAATTAAATACAATTAAAATTCAAAATTTTACAGCTTTAAAACAGAAAGAAGCACACACATTTCTTGTATAAATATACATATATGTATATGTATGTGTACATACGTACATATATATATACTAAAAATCTGCCAGCTATATAGAAACTGATATCGCTTAGGCTTAAAACGATTTGAATTTCCCTTCAATTTTGTCGCTCCAGACTTTTGTTTGACTTTTATAGTTCAATTGATTTGCTGAACTGCAGAGACAGCCACCTACACACACACACACACACACACACACACACACACACACACACACACACAC